TTCATGCGGGCGACTTTTCACATTGTTGATGCCCGTAGCCGCAGAAGGAGGAGGCAGCGCAGTGGGGAGGGGGGGGGGGGGCATCCGCCTCTGCAGGGCTTTAATTTCCATTTATTTTGCCCTTGAGTGGATTATCGTTTCCCCGCGGGACATTAAACATGGGAGGCGAGGTGTTGCTTACCTCTCCGGGGGCGGGGGGGGGCAGGGGATTCCCATGCACGTGGACTACTCTCTGCCATCTGACCCCGGCGAGGGCTCAACGCGGCCGGCTCGCCACTTCACCAAAAGAGGGGGCATCAATATCCATTTGATTCACGCATTTCGCGCACTCTCCCCCCCCCCCACCCTCCCCCCGGGGGGCGCTGCAGCGGCACTTTGCTCCGCTGTCGCTTCCTTTCTCTCCGTCTCACGTCGGGTCGGTTCACACGTGCCCCGCCACGCACGCATGTCCACTCTCCGAACACCAAAACCCCCAGCCGGGGGCGAGCATGCCGAGCGATGACTTTTGTTGTTTCAGAGAGGAACGTTTTGTTTCAGATGCAGCAAAATAGCTTTAGATCTCTGCTCGTCCCATAGAAAAGTAAAGCGCATCCGAACTTCTCTTCCTGTCCCTTTTCCACCTTAAGTTGTCTTGTTGTGTAATGATTTTTCGTATTTTCTCCCCCCACTCTCGTACCGGCCCGGGTGTGTTTTTTTGGGGGGGTTTCCGTCTGTAGCATTTGCGTATCCGTGTCCCTATTCCTCTTTTTTAACTCTTTATTTTCATGCTCATTCAACCCTCTAACCCCCCCCCCCTTCTCTGCCGTGATTGGTCGATCAGGTCGTCAGGGGAGACGAGGAGCGGGGAGACGCTGGAGTTGACGATGGGCAACATCGGCGCCGACGTGCTGGAGCAGCTGCTGGAGTTCGTCTACACGGGGTCGCTGGTCATCGACTCCGCCAACGCCAAGACGCTGCTGGAGGCCGCCAACAAGTTCCAGTTCAACACCTTCTGCAAAGTCTGCGTGTCCTTCCTAGGTAGGGGGGGGGGGTTGATGTGAACGTCTGTGTGCCAGTCTGCCCGCTCACGCTCTCCGCTGGGCTCGGATCTTCTCCCCGCGGGGAAGGGAAGGGAAGGGAAGGGGGGGGCAGATTCATTAAAAGGTCAGGGAACAATTGTCACTTACTGTAAAATGTCAAATCCTGTGGCCTGGACAATGAGAGGACATCTGGGGAACAAATAGCAAGACGTATTGATACTTGGGAAGTGTGCCGCCAGGGGCCCGCCGGGGGGGTCACGTGCAACGCAAACGGCGTGTTTGAGATTTTAGCGAGTAACCAACCAGAAAGCTGCAAATGTCAGGCTTTGCATCCCGTTCTTATAAATTGTCCCGAGTATCGGTAACAAAGGTCAGAGGAGGGAAAGGAAAGGTAAAGCAGAACCACGTTATTGATTTGTTTTTCTCCAGTTGGGTAAAAAAAAAAGAGGAGGGGGGGGCACGGAAGCCATTTGTAAACTTCATTTCCTGCGGGACGTCAATCCATTCTTCCCCGACAAGATTCATGGCGTTTCAGCGCAGTGGAAGGGGAGAAAATACGGGCGCGTGTCCTCGGGCGAGGAGGAATTGATACGGTGTCGGATGTTATTGAGGTTTGTAACAAATATACGCTGAGCAGAAACCGAGCGGCCGCGACCTGCTCACCACGCCGTTATTCACACGACTCCACGTCCAAATCAAAGAAGAAAAAAAAAAAAAAAGCACAGTCGCTTTGCGAGAAATCCACACGGTTCTTCAACCCCGTTTTACAGTGAACCCGCGACCTGCTCCCGAATTTCAAATGGGCTCAGGGCCTTTTTGTGACACATTGTTTCCGCTTTACTTAATGTTGAGTGTTTGATGCAGCGTGACGCTGGCGTTTACTCAGCCTTTGTTTAAATCCGATTCTAGCAGATGTTAGGCGACCTTTGTTGGCCCCTGGTTGTTTCTGTTAGAGAGTCTCTGTCCTCAGCGATAAGGCCGGCCCCCCGCGTCCCTCCGACGGCCGTTGTTTAATCGGGCCTCTCGCGGTGCCCACTGACCCGGTTCATCCACGGGCTCCGCTGCCAACGCGCTTCCCTCTCCTGTGATAAATGGCACTGTGTGTGGGTCTGTGTGGGTCTGTGTGTGTGTTACAAATCCCAGCCGCACCCTCACATCACAGGCGGTGGCGTAAGTCCGTCCTCCCCGCTGGCCCGGCCACCAGGGCGCTGCGTGCAGCCGACTCCCGAGATCTGACAGGACTTCTTTAGAGCGGTCCGGCTAATCCCCCGAGCGGCGCTCCCTGACACCCGCCCCCATCGATTTCCCTCGCTGTTTGTCCCCGCGGGCTGTTTTGAGTCATCGCACTTGTTCCTCCTTTGGTCTCCGGCAGACGTGCGCTCCGACGGGGGTCTTTGCCAGCGGCTCTTGTCTCTCTGTCTCCGCTTGCTACGTCCGTGATCTTTTTTTCTGAACGTCTGAATTGAGTTCCCGCGTCCACTCAAGCCTCCCCGTTGTCCCCGTCTCCGACCTCCTTCGTCCCCTCCAGAGAAGCAGTTGACTGCGGCGAACTGTCTGGGAGTCCTGGCCATGGCCGAAGCCATGGCGTGCACCGAGCTCCACAACATGGCCAAAGCCTTCGCACTGCAGAACTTCCCCGAGGTGAGATCCAACTCATCGATCCCTGTAGGAGTTACACGGCAGATCGGGTGGGTTAAGGGCAAATGAAGCTTCCAGCAAAGGGAAATCCAATCGAAATCATGCCGATATCAATAAATGACTAACCGGCAGTTCCAACCTTCTTAGACTTTAACCACAGAGGATATTGGATAATTATACTGCCGGAGCTTTTCAATAACATACAAAGAGCTTAAGAAGAAAGAAAGAAATGTCTTTGCAGCACTTGAGGGATTGAAAATCTGTTGCTGCGCAGATCTCCATCTCTGAGGCCGCGGCGGGGTCCTTTAGTTCGCCGTCCAGCGAGCAAGGACACAAACGTCCCCTGTGGTTTAACCTCGGGCTGCGGCGATCCGCCGAGAACCGTTTCTCAGGCGCCGAAGGCTGCGCGAATGTTTGCGCTCGTTTTGAAAAGCGTGTGTCACGACTCCCCAGGTGGCGGGACAGGAAGAGATCCTGAGCGTGTCCAAGGTGGACCTGGTGGCCTACCTGTCCAACGACAGCCTCAACACCAAGGCGGAGGAGCTGGTCTACGAGACGGTCATCAAGTGGATCAAACAGGACCCCGAGTCCAGAGTGCAGGTGAGTAAGGAAAACCAAGAGCGGACCACTGTTTTGGATAAAAGGCCCGGGGACGGTCCAGCCGCGTCGGGACGAACTCCGGCATGAAGGTTTTATGGATTCACTCACAAGATCGTCAATCTTAAGCTGATTTTTCCGTATTTTATAGCGGTTAAAAATTAACTTGAGGTATTGGCAGATAATCACTGGAGGAGTCATTCATTTGGACTAATGTCTTCTCATCCACCGGCACGTGGGGGAACTGCCGGATCGCTCGCTGAACACCTCTCCAATCAACGTACTTTATTATGACGCACCAGTTCAGCGTTTATCTCGTGATGTGTCGCAGTCTCGCTCGATGGTGAAATCCGTCGCGTCCATCCGGGGGGGGGGGGGGTTTGGCAGCTGAGGCACGAGCCGTGGAGGGCGGATGGTTGGTGGTTTGCGGGCGCCGAGATCGAAATAAAAAAAGACACCGGGCGCGGAACGAGTTTCCACGACGCGGAGTGAAAATGCACCGAAATTGGAATTTGTGGGGGGGTGACTGATGGGGGGAAGGGGGGGGGGGAGATTTGACTCGGCGGCAGTGCGAATTCACAAGGAGCCACAACAACAAGGCGGACGCCGGCTTTTTTTTAGGAGAACACGCGACCTCTGTCATCTGCATCGCAGACCTCCAGCCGGCTCGGGCCCCGGCACACTCCGGCAATCTCACACTCTAATGGAGAGGTGACTTACGCACATGAAGTAGGAGAGGGGGGGGGGGGGGGGGGCGAAAAAAAAAAAAAAAGGAGACTTTTCTCGCGCGTCCTAACAGGGGGGGGGACACAAAGACCAAAAAAAAGAAAGGAGAACGGGTAGAAAGGGCCCCCCCCCCCCCGGGGCCCGCCATGGGGCTCCAGCAGGGCGTGCCTTTAGCCGCCGGTCGGCCTCGAGTCGCTCGCCCGCGTCTGACCGGCAAAAACAGTGACAGTTTTTAATGGCGTGTCAGGGCGGAATGTCACAGCGCTGCTGAAAAACTCTGCGGAGGCGGGTGGCGAGGGAGGAGAGGGGGGGGGGGTTTAGCTTTGGGCCTTGAGCTAAGTTTGTGTGCATCTGCATACGTGTGCGTGTGGGTTTTAAGCTGCGGGCTATAGAGTGGAAAAGTGGCATATTGAAGGCGGTGAGTAAATAATATGCAATTTTCTCTCTCGGCTGCGCTGTCACAAACATCCGAGCGCGGCCCCGGACATCGCTCGCAGACGTTGAGAGCATCTGAGCGTTCATAATGGTTTTCGCCACGAGACACAGAAAGCCCCCCCCCCCCCCCCGGACGCAAGAGGGGAGCCGTGTCGGCTGCCTTGGAGCGCTGCCGGTCCGCCGCCGTGCCGAGCTTCCGCGTCACGGACGAGACTTTGAAAGGAAAGGAGACACCGACACGCTCGCTGCCCGAACTGAGACGTCCGGCGACAAACTATTTGAATAATTAATTCATCTTTCGAGGAGCAGTTGTGTAGCTTTATATTTGTGGTATTGATATGAACATTTTGGTCAGGGTGCCAAAGAAGGGCGCGCGGTGGATGCTGAAGGTCGAGTCTCATTTAGCACCGGTAGCCGTTAAATAGCAGGTTTTGAGCAACTCATGTGAACCTTAACGCGCCTCTAAACACGGAGACGTGTCCGATGATGATCGTAACCGCTTCCCTCTGAGAAGTCGGACCCATTAGCCCGGAGGAGCCGCGCGTCACGTCCTCTCTTTGAGGGGCCCCCGGTCTCTGGACCGCATATCCCCTGAATAGGGGGACATCTTTCATAAAGGGTCCTATCTCGCCAGGTGACTCAGCCTGACAAGAGCCGCTGATTAATTGGAAAGCGGGCCGGGGAAACGCAGAGGCTGAAAAGGACGGTTAATGGCGTGGGCTCGCGATGAAGGGAAAGGGGGACAGCGTTGCCATTAGCCGAGACTGAGCTGTCCGCTCATCAGAAATAACAATGGCGTTTGTAGTCACCTCGCCAAATGAGTACAGTTATTACCTCATATCCGGATGCTGTCGGTTACTGGTTAATATTCGTGGGGATTCTTAATGCTTTCGACCCCCGGTAATGTTTTTGGTAATTCCTTTTTTTTTTTTTTCTGCCTTCAGCGCTCATTAAGAATTTCCCCGAACAAATGATGCTATCGTTATGTAGTCGCAGTGTGAAATTATCAAAGGATAAAAGGCCGCTTTGAGGCTGTGCAGGGATATAAACGGTTACTTCCCGATTTTACCATTGGTTCACATTCCGCGCTGCACGTGACCCTTTCAGCACCGGCGTCGCCTTTTAATTCAGTGCTTCTCTTTCTGAGCGTCACCTTCAAAAAGGAAACTTTCCATCACCTTGCACCCGTTAAGGGAAGGTTAATTGTCTTTTTCTTTTTTTCTTTTTTTTTGACGACGGGGACGTTTGTGCCTCGATGTGTCGAGTCGGGCTCGATGCTCGCTTCGACGGAGGCGTACTGAGAGGAGACGCAGCCGGGCGATGGAGATGGATGGAGATGGATGCAGTGTGCAGCTTTTTCCCTCCGTCTCTCATTCTGCCTCCAACTCACGTTGCTGTGCGCACACACACACACGGACACACACACGGACACACACAGGGATTCACAGCATGTCACTGATCACATCCCGCTCCGCCGCTCAAACGTTCACACAAGACTGGAGGTCACTTGAGGATGGGATCAGTGAGCCGGCGGGCTCCCAACCTCCGCGCTCATCTGCGTCCCTTCGCCGTCCCCGAGCGCGCTCGGTCCTGATGGGTGCAGCCAGTTGAACGCGTCCACAGAGGGAAGGGGGGGTACGGTGAGTGGGGGTCGAAGGCGTCGCATGAGTGAATCATGTAGAACAGGCCGACGTTACGGCGTCACTGCAGAGGAAGACATCTTCTGTTTCAGATGTCAAGAGAAATAATGAATAACAGTATTTCACAGAGGGGGGGCCGGGGGGGCACAGAAGCAGCGACCGCTCGATGTCAAAGGTAATTCAGTGGATTGAGAAACAAGCCAGAGAGTTGTGCGTTATTATGCAGCGAGCAGTCATTCAAACGAATGCGTTTTGTATTTAATGAAAGGAAAGAAAGCTTTTCTTTCTTTTTTTTTTTTTTTTTTTTGGAGAATGAAGTCATGCCGAAATGAAGAAAAAAAAAAAATAACCCTCAGGGGAGAACACATTGCACCTGTCAGTAGTTGCTCAGGGCAGCGGGCGACGTCTGTCGCCCCCCCCCCCCTCCTCGTCATCCATCCTCCCGGCTCAAACGCTCAACATAGTCGCAAACAACACACAAACGTGCCCAGCAAAGCGTCTCTTGAACCCAGACGAGGTGCCGTTTGGGAGAACATCATTTACTCATCCATCACGCGTCAGAGGGAAACGGCGAGCCTGCGTCTCCACGCACAAGCCTGCAACGGACGCCGAGGCTGTGGTCATTGTTTGTTGTGAGCGCCGGCACGCACAACACACACCTGTGAGGCCCGGCAGTGTTTTTTTTTTTCCCTTCTCTTCATTATTCTTCAAACCCGAGCTGCGTTTAAAGCATCCGGTTGTCAGGGTTTTTTCCCCCGACAAAGCAGACGTGCGCCGCTCTCTGTTTAGAGGAAGGCAAATAGATACGGCCGTTCGTGTGTCATTTATTTGACTGCGTTGAGTCATTTTACACACACACACACGAGGTGTTAGTCCTCGCTGACAGCAGCGGAATGGGAAATGCTCAGCGGACATTTGTCATCTGCGTTAGCGGATGGCGGCTTCCCGGCGGCTCCTCCGCCGCCTCTTGACAGATCTGAGACGCTCCCTGTTAGACACATTATCCCCCGTCCTCCACCAGGCTCGACCCATTCACGTCCTCTGTCCACCATCTCTGTGTGCGTGTGTGTTTTATGTGTGCGTTTTTGTTCCTTTTTCTAGGCGGCTGCAGTCCGCAAGATAGAGACCTCAGAGTCACAAGGTGTGTTATCTGGGTTGCACATCAGAATACCCGATGCACTCCTCCTAGAGACGGACGGAGGAGGGGTGAAGCGTGCGTGCGGGCGGACATGCTAAGAGTAGCGTCTCTCTACTCTCGTATGTTCCACTTGGGACGTTCTCGTGTCTTTCGTTGGGCACCGTAGCTGTTCTGACCTGCATCCGTCTGCAGGTTCCACCGCTCGTCTGCAGCCACGGAGCTCGCCTCTGCACCAGAGAGAGGGATTACTCGAGGGGTTTGTTGGAGGAATGTCGTGCGCGACACTCATCGATCGGGAGGCCGCTTATTTACCTGGTTTGCGTCAAGCACGCACGCGCATGCACAAGTCAGATGTAGCCCCTTTTAGCACATAGCTCGTAGTCTTCGCTCACCATGTTTGCAGGAAAGGCGCTAAAAGCTGAGCGTGTATCTGCCACAATTCAGCAAAGGAAGTTTTCACTCTGTTGAAATGTCAAGTCGTCTGTTTGCCTGTTATTATCGCGACTTATGTGATTTTAGATGGCGACTGCTGCAAAGTACACAAAACTAAACAAAGGTAATTTAATTTCCCAAATAGGAAAGGTGGCGGACGTGGTCGCCCATGATTATATCTTCCTCGAAATTATCATCCACAAACATGAAGACTGTTTAGAGATTTTTTTTTTTTTTTCAGTTTGGGTTTTGATAGAAAAGCCGAAGGTCAGACAGGTGGAGAGAAGAGCTACTTGTAATTTAACCACGACGTCTCTACAGAAGGGAGGACATGATTATCACGATGCTGCTGTGTTGTCAAGAACAGAATGCCTTTCGAGATAAAAGCCCCAACCCCCCCAAATCATGAATTACTCATCATCTCACTCCGCGTTGTCACTTGCAGTCTCCAGAAAAGGTCTTTGAGGGGACGAGTCGACACATAAATCCATAAACCTGATCCGCACCATAGAGGCGCGTGCTGCTCCATGTCGCCTTTTCAAAGCTGTGTGACGCAAATACAGAAAGAATCTTCCCCCCCAAATGGTGCCTGAACTGCGTCTGCTTTATATTTGCATAAAGGTAATGTAGCCCAGGTAAGACCGGTGGTCACAGTGGTTATAGCATTCAAAAACATTCAGATTAAACTCAAACTGCCGGCTTTTTTCCCCCCTAAAAAGCCTTTAATTCGACGCTAAACAAGAATGTTGAGCAAACGGAGGAGGGGTTGATTAGAAATAGAAGACTTTAAAGACTTAGACATGCGTAACCCCGTCCACACGCTCGGGGGACGTTTGTCCAACTCCATCCGCGGTTGCGTGTTTAATCACAGCGACTTTGCATTGTTTTAATCTCAAACGAGATTACACTCGAATCAATATCCCGAGTGCACAACTATGACCGCAAACGGCACATGATTATAAAACGGGACCATCCATCGGTCTCCTGCGTGCGTGGGCCGGTCGTGGGCTGGATGTTCACGCGCTCGCCGCCCTTACCTGTTTCGCAGAGACCAGATGCCGTCTCTTTGAGGCCGTTTTAAAGATGCGTGGCACCCGAAGGGAGGCGGCAGCAGCTGTGAGATGCTGCAGCGAGACACACTTCGTTACTTCATTTCCTGCAGACATATTTGTGTGTGTGTGTGTGTGTGTGTGTGTGTAGTATTGATTCCACAACGTGAGCTTTAACGTCGGCCCAGTCTGTCCGTGAACTCTCGACCAGATGACTCTGCACTCGCGAACTCATCTGCTCGGAGAATTCCGCAGTGAGCTTCCGATCTCCCGGACGACCGATTTTCTACACTTGCAAACTCCTACTCAAGGTTGTTGATATCTCACCCGCAGCGGAGAGCAATGGGAAGAAATGAAATTCCGACCGCGTCCACCTGCCCTTCGGAGTAGGAGCAGGACGGGGACATTTTAGCACGTTTATTTCTGCAGTGCCGCTGAGGGCCCCACCTGGCTGGAACTGCCCCATATACAGCTTTAATTTAGCCACCCGGGTCAGAGCGGTCAGTCGTTGACCTGCAGCCGCCGCAGCTGAGTTCAAATACAACAAAGTCCCCTCCCGTCCCTCCCCAGATTGCAGTAGTTCAAAGGATATTTATCTGAGGAGGATTTACTGTCCAATAAGCGCCTCTGAAACGTGTCGACATCCGATCGCCGGAGCCCAACGGCACAGTGTCCCACGGCCAAAGCGGGCGAGCTGCTCGGGGAGAAAAGTGGCTTTTGGTAGAAAAGCAGTAAGCCGGAAGCTTAGGTCGCCTCCGTTTGGCTCGGCAGCTGCCGGAGCGAATCTCCGCCCCCCCCTTTTGGTGTCACCTTCTTTCCTCATCTTGTCTTCTCGTGACGGGCTCCTTTCGCTTGTCTCCTTGCTCCTCGTCCCACCCCGTCCTTCCCGCGGCGCTCTCCGTCTGTCTCCGCCTGTCTCATCTCCTCCTCCTTCCGGGTCAGACGGCGGTGGATTCGGGAGTGAAAACGCCCTCAGGTGGGGGGAGGCCCGGGCCGAGCGTCGGCTTTACTATTCGCTCTCCCCTGAACGACGTTCCTCTCGTTCTGTCGGCCTCCGAGAACCGAAGGGGTCAACGGGGTCAACCTGTCCGGCGCTCCGTCCGGCCGTGTTTACAGCTTTTACCGTCGCCGCGGATGAGACTCCCACGGGAGCACTTGCACACGCAAAACACTGAAAGGAAGAGAAAAATAAAATCAGCAGCCCAGAGCTATAGAAAAGGTTGCCATGGCAACAGGCTGCCCTGCCTCCGTGGCTGAACACCTATATGCACGCGCATGTTGGTTCCATAGCTCGGGGATGAATATTGGCGGTGCCACAGTTGAGGATTCTCCTCGTTTTGGTTTTACTGCGCGACATGTAAATCTCTTAAAAGCCTCGATCGCGATGCCAAAATCTCACCCTCAAAGGGGAAAAAGGGCCAATTATGAGCGCAGATTGTGTCAAAATCCGCTCTCCATTTATTGGTTTGATCCTGAAACCTGAAGCATCTTTGGAATCGTCTCCCGGCCTGAATGAGCCGTGATTAACTGGAACTAGGTCTCAATTTAGCTACAGAAGATCATTAGCCGTGTGTAACGTCTAATTTGGACCTGGAAATATCAAAAGCTGAAGATGGAGGCGGTGAGAGACCCCCCGCCGCCTCGCTCCAGTTCTCGCACGGCGACCAAAGTGGGTCGGTGAGCGGATCTCACTGAGAACTTTTACGAAAGCGATATATTTGTGGCCTCTTATTTAACGCTGAATGCGCTTTAATGACTGAATTAGAAGTCTCTGGAGCCGTTTCAAGTTCCGTTTGCAGAGAGTGTAGAAATAGAGCGCCGAGCCGACGCTGACAGGAACCGACTGAATCCGAATCCAGCTTTTTCGTACTCCGGCGGCTCACGTTTCTCCAACGCCATCACTTTTCCGATGTTATTAAGACAAACGTTTCTAATGAGGTTTCATGTTGTTCATGCAGAACCTCTTTGATCATCTCCGGCAGTCTCACTCCCTCGTAATGCATCTAAATGTCTGCAAATAAATGTGTGTAATATAAGCTTTTGGTTTCTTCAGCCATCCACTCCTCCTCCGTCTCCTCAGACTCTGTCCGACCTGCTGGCGGTGGTGCGCCTCCCCTTCATCCACCCGTCCTACCTGCTGAACGTGGTGGACAACGAGGAGCTGATCAAGTCCTCGGAGGCCTGCCGCGACCTGGTCAACGAGGCCAAGCGCTACCACATGCTGCCGCACGCGCGCCAAGAGATGCAGACGCCGCGGACCCGGCCGCGCCTCTCCGCCGGTACGCGACACACACACACACACACACTTAACTGGAAGGGGTGATGCAGAGGTCGATGACCCCACGAGCAGAGGCCGAACAGCAGCTGCATTTGTATTGATTTTCAGTGCGCGGCTGCAAAGCTCTGAAATGTTTTTCCCACACAAGTCATTTAAAATACTTACAACTACATGTTGGGGACACTTCCGAATGTCGGCACAGATTTTTCTTTCCATGATAGAAAAAAAGCAAAAAAAGCAAATGGCTACTTGAGCCAGGTCTGAAAGGTTGAAACCGCAGCGGCCCGCCGGGGCACACGAACATCCCCAAAGCCGCCGGCTTTTTCCTTCCGCCGTCCGTTTCAAAGCAACCAGCCGACCGCTCGCTGCCCGACCAGCGCCGGCCGTCCAGCCCGCCGAAGCCCACCTTTTGTTTACATCGTTAAATTCAAAGAATCACTCATGGAAATTGGAAGGCGCCTGCAAATTGCTTTTGGCCGTTAGATTTTTCCCTCAGGTCGGCCAGGCGCCCCCCCCCACCCCCCACCCATGTAAATGCTACCTAATTACGGTGTCTACGTGGTGTTATGAGCAGCACGCCGTACCATTCCACACAAGTTGTTTTCTGCTCGGTAGAATAAAGATAATTGCCTAACAAATGGCACTTTATTGAGAGCTCGGGTTCACGAGCCAACGCCGTTGTCCAACCGGCGGGTTTATCCGTCGGCAAACGAACAGCGAGTGGACGTTATGTTTTTTGCATACGTAATTACCTGTGATGCAGTCGCACGGGAATTCCTAAAGAAAGAGAAGACTGCGGCGTGACATGCGCGCAGCACCTCCGCATTACTCATCCCTCCATCCAGCGGTTTGCTCCTTGTTCTCAGCAGTTTCTTGAAGCGTTTTTCTGTCGAGGACCATTTTGCCGTGTTTGCTATGTGCATATGTTACGCTTCACACAGCCCCATTATGCGAGCAGCAAGTGTATATTGATGCCCAGCAGCTCGTGGCTCTGTAACAACAGAATTATTTAAATGCATAAATGCTGCCGGGACGAATACATCCGTGGGGCTCTGTGCCCCGTTGGCCCGGTGGGTGAGGAATAGGGGTGCGCCCTCTGAAGCTGCTCATGATGACCGACCTGCACGCAGAAGCTGATCTGTTGGTTGTGGTGATGTGGCGCACAGACGTCCGCGGCCTAATCCCCTCCTGCAGGGCGCGTGTCGGCGTGCCGATCGTTCCGCATGCATCCATGTGACGGCCATCTGCCGCATCGGACAGGGTGGGCTCCGCCCAGCAGGGTGCACCGTCGCCGGCGTGGGGGGGAGGGGGGTCCGCGGCAGGTTGACGAGGAAGACGCAGGAGAGTTCTGGCGGGACACGAGAGGACACGAAAGAGGAGACCCGTCGGAGGGCGGGTGGGGGATGTGGTCGGAGGGGGAGGAGCTTATGAGGGGATCAGAAATGAAATTGGAAGGGCAGACATTTGATGGAGTTTATTCTTTTGAGCACGCCGTCTACCCGTGTAAGCAGTGAGCGAGCGTGCGTGCACGCGTGTCTGCGTGTGCAGTTTAAATGTGAGCGAGCAGATGGGGCGCCACCTGAGCTCGGCTGATAAGTCTGTCAGGCGGAAAAAGAAAAGGAAAACTGCCATCCGTGAAGCACTTCTTGCTGAGCACAGTCAATCTGTGAACTTGTGAGTCTCATGCATATGTGTGTGTGTTAGAGTGGCCCGTGTTTGCCTTCATGCAATATGTGTGTGTGTGTGTGTGTGCGCACTCATGCCTGAGTGACTCACATATTCAGCCGCTTTTACTGGTGATGTAAGTTGAGTTGTATTTTTTTCTAAGGCTTGAAATTGTATTTACTCCCGTGAGCATCCCTCCGATGATGGAGGTAAAGGGTTCTGCGGCAGAGAGGACCTGCAGGCCCCCCCCCCCGCTAATTGCATCCACTGTTTGTGTAGAAAACTTGATTTTATATTATGGTGGTAAAAACCGGGCAAAATGTTGATATTAAGCCACTTCATCATTATTCATGAACGTTAATGGTGTATGAAGACGCACTCGGCGACGTGCTGGTGAGATAGAAGCCCGTCAACTTCTTTAAATCCCACAGAAAAGGCCGACATCTTAACGAGTACTCGCTCCATTAGCTTATACGCTCGAAAAACCTCCAGTGTGATAAAAGCAGCCAGATGGTTTCCACACAGCGTTCAATTGTCTTGTTTTTTGCTGTTGTTCGGAGTCCCGCTGCGTTGCTCTGTTGTAATTCGTTTCTTTACTTTCTGCCGGTGCTCGATTTTTGCAAGTAGATTAAAACATTTGACATTTGAATCGCCAGTTCATTTTTGCGTCGCCTCGCTGGCCGAGGAGGAGACGGTCCTCCGTCTCACTTTGCTCCTCGTTTGCATTCTGCGGCGTTTTATCGAGTGGATGCTCTGCCCATCCATTTTGTTCCATGCTGATCAGAGATCTTCATATGTAAACTTGTGTGGCAACAGATGGCGTCACTGTATCTTTTTCTTTTGTCATACTTAGTGCACCAACTTACTTGTTTTATAGAATGTCATCCCTGCTTTCCCTCCAATCCCCGCGGCACCCCTTAATTTGGGGGGGGGGGGGGGGGGCGGCTGACGTCTTCTCTTAATATCCTCTTCATTAAAAAGAGTTTTGGGGAAAGGGAAATCTCCGAGTGAATCATGAGGAATCCGCGGCGTTTCGCCCGCGCTTGCATCCGTTAGCTGCTAATTGGTTAATTAGAGTGTGGATGTGCATCTGATTAGCCGTCATTAGACTTTCGGGGGGGGGGGATCGGCAGAGATTAAACAGTCGGGAGTTCACTCGCGTGACGCAGTCTGATTCCCGACAGCGCGTTTGTCAGAACCTCCCTCCGGTACCGCGCGCTGCCTGTGTAGGAGGCGCCGGCGGCGCTCCTTCCTCTAGATTACTCGGTTTGAACCTTCCTTTCCTCGCAGCCCGGGCCGCGTTGGACGCGTGGATATTAAACGTTGTTGGCCGTTACATTCCTGCAGCCCAACGGCTGGATGTCATTACACAACGGCCCCGCTCGCCTCCAGCTCTCGGAGACAATCGAAACGGGGACCGTTGTGTGGGGGGGCCGTACGAAGCCCGTGGGCGGGACATCCATCTCCTCATTCACACCTCCGGCAGCCAGCCGGACTCCTCGGAGAGCCGCCGCCGCCGCCGCCCCCCCTCCCCCCAAAGGACGGAGGATGAGATTCACACCTTGTAGGGAGAGCGTCAAACCTCATCGGACGTCTTCCTCCTGCAGTCTGCCTCCTCCCCCTCAACTAGCTGCTTCCTAGTAGCTGCTTTCAATGGAATAATCATCTCTCATCTCTCTCTGGCTGCTAACGGGGAAGCTGACGGTAGTTTGCAGGGGCCGTTGCCATCCCCCCCCCCCCGTCAGGACGGTGTTGATTATTGTCCTGCTCTGTGTAATTATTCAGCCCGGTTTGGCGTTTAGAGTCAATCCAGCGTGAGATTACTCGGGTTCACCTCTCAACCTGGAGGAGCAGGAAGCGGGAGAATGTGCCAGAGACGTCTTAATCGCTCCACGTGAAGAATGCCCTTCAGCCGACGCTCCGCCCGTCTGATTCCTGCAGCCTGAGATGTTCGAGGCAAGCGGAAAGAAACGGAGCGAGCAAGAGAGAGAGAACTGGAGTGTGAGGTTTTGATATTCCGCCGGCTTATCGGCGAGATCTCTGCTCATAAATGCAACACGCAGGCAGTAAATCCAGATGTGATAACCTTTGAACGTCCGCAGGGTCCGCAGCCAAAATAAAGGTTCCGTCCACTTGACCTTTCGGCTGCGGACTCCTGTCATCCTGCGGCGAGGCCGGGGGAGAGAGGGAGGGTGGAGGGAGGGAGGGAGGAGGGGGCTGACATGTGAGCGATCGCCTCGGCCGCAGTCTGCAGAACCCGTAACTGCTGTTACTTACCGTGCAGACGGATTGGGTTTGACGGGTCCGTCTCTGGTTTCGCTTTGTGTCGCCCGCCCGGTAGAACACGAGGGGAGGGGAGGGGAGGGAGGGAGGGAGGGAGGGGGGGGGGGGGGGGGGGGGATTTCCTCCTCACAGCATTGGAGCATTACATTTAAAAAATTCAACAGAAACGCATCTCTCCGGTGTCGGTGTCCCAGTTACTCTGGAAGTTCCACAGAATAAAACCCTGAAAATAGTTCCACCGTAAAGAAAACCCCCGTTCAGTGAGCTGTGCATTGGGGACGCGGTTTCTGGGGAGACGCAGTGCTTTAAAAAAAAAAAAGTAATGTAATCGCAACCCTGCGAGCGGCACAAAACACTAATCTACCTGCCGCTCTTGTATTTGTGGGAGGTGGGAATCTCAGGCGAGGACGTGTGATTCACATCTCCATTCGACGCCATTAAAAGCCAAAGTATTCCAGCCAACACCAGTAGTCCAGAAACAAACATCCAAGCGTTATTTGGGAGCCTTTGGCGCCCGGATCCTCGCCATAGCCAATTAACACCCTGGGAGAGAAATCCTAGGATTAGGGAGGGGGGGGGGCAGATATGAAGAAGAAGTGGTGTTTATGGACCAGCAGATACGAACGGCTCTGAGCCCCGAGAGACCGGCTGTGACACCCGAGCACAAGTCTGCGCCAGTTTCCAGCACACGACCGTATCCACACGTGCACGTTTGTTCATGTGACGGATTTATTAACACACATCTCTCCCGCTCGGCTCAGCCCGGATGTTTGTTTAAATTAATTTATGCGTTCAATGGCTCACTGCAAAAGTTTCCTTTCCACGACAACTAATGAAGCTGAACAGTAATGACAGACGGAGCTCAAACCCTCATCTTCTAAACGGCGAGCTCCTTCATGCGGGACTTTAAATACCTGCGTTTGAATGTAGCCGCAAAGACGACGCGCTGCTGGGAGGACAGTTCCTGCACATGGCTTTTGAGCAAGGCGCTTGGGCGTGGACGCAGCGCCACCCCGCTGTGCCCCCCTGACGTTAGCTGGAGCCGAGCACGGCTGCTGCAGTCGGCTCCCGGGGAGCCGGTTGAGAGGTAGAAGGTGCAGGAGGAGGGGGGGGGGGGGGGGATCACGGAAACCCCCACGCCGGTCAAATCCGCAGCGTTGGATGGCTTAAGCCCGACTTATGGGACGCGCCGTGGGCTCACGGGGAAAAAATTCTATCTCCCCAAAAAAAAACAACAACATAGGAAATTGGTCTCGTCTTCTTCTCATGTTTGCAGGACTAAAAGTGAAAAGAAAATTCGACAAACCAGCAAGCGAAAACTGTTTTAGTTTATTTTCCCTGCACAACTTGGATCCATACAGATGTTACTACAAACACTGATCGACGAGCGCGCGGGATGACGATGTGAAACCGCACAACAGATGAAGAATGATGAGAAAGAGATGGAAATCTAATCCTGTGAAGACGCAGGAATACGGTCCAACTTTTAATATCCAATGAAGTTGAAACGCGTGATGAAGAGAAATGGAGAGCAAACACGTACAATAGAAGCAGCAAACTAATCACAGGCAAGAAACACTAGCGAGCAAAGTCAATATAATTAACGTGTGTGTGTGTGTGTGTGTGACACACACAGAGGGCCTCTTTTCTCCATTTCTTTTTCAAAGGACATCTGCGGTCTTCCGTCGCTGCGCACGTCGCAGATGCGCGGCGAGGCGGCGAAACCAGGCCGCGATGGGCACGAGTACAGAAGGTCGCGCACGTTCTCGCCGAGCAGCGTCATCCCCGAAGCTTTCGTTGATAAAAGGAGCGTCGCCTCTAAGCCGACGTGTCCGAGGCAGAGCTCGTCTCCTCTTTTTTTGAGCCGGTTTCCCCTCTTGGAAGGAAAAAAATAAGAGAAGATAAACTCTCTGTTTTAGCACCGTTGGAAGGAAACTGGGAGCTTAAGAGTTGGAAATAAATAAATAAGGAGATTGTTTCTTTGAGAGAAAGCGAAGCGCCGATGGACGCGAGTGTGGAAAAGTATCGATCGGAGGGAATTCATTCCTCTCTCTCCTCGCCCCGTCTCTCGTTAACTCCCCCCGCCTCCCCCCTCCCCCTCCTCTCCAACCACTGCCTACAAACACACAGCTAATTTCTGTGTGGTGGCTTGTTGTCCTGCTGCTGAGGACTGACTGAGACGGCGCTCATGTGGCAGCTCGCCAGCCTGTTTGTGTGTTCTGGATCACTGGTGTCTTTATCCCCTGTGTGTGTGTGTGTGTGTGTGTGTGTGTGCGTGCGTGTGTGTGTGTGTGAGAGCAGAGATTGGCTGAGAAGCAACAGGGATAAGTGCTGAATGTTTTCTCGAGTATCTTCTCAATCACACACAAAGTCCTCACAGTGTGTGTGTGTGTGTGTGTGTTGATTCTATTGATTGTGCGATTCTCTTCTGCCGGTGCTCGTGCGCGTTGTGTGTTCCACAGTGCGAGTGTGCGGATGAAGGGAGAGCGGCGGCCGCCTCTCGGTCCGGGTAATTCAGTTATGCTTTGCTACTTAATTCAGTACTTTCCTGTGACCGAGAGGAAACTTCTCTGCTTTGCATTTTGTTTTGCATTTCCCCCGACAAGCGTATTGACTGCGGGACGGCGAAGGCCGCTGAATCTCAAACAGCAGACTTGTAATGTACGGCCGGCGGACCCTCCGGGTTCTGTGGGAGGATTCAAGCGCTGCGTCGACAGCACATCTCTTATTTATATTTGAAAATACTTCTGGCCCTAAAAGATGAAGAATTAAGTGTTTAGCTCTGAATATTTCTGCTTTGGATGTGGATAAATCAAGGTGGAACTGTGATCCGTTCAACTAGCTGATAGTCTAATTACTCCGGTCGCTTTGCTTTAGTGTCACATTTAGCATGAAGGCTGCATTATTGTGTAATAAACATAAACCTGCCCTTTATTTAAATCTGCATGCATGTTTTAAGCTTCTGTAACCAAAGACTGCTGATTTTCTTCATTTCTTATTTCTTATTCAACTACAGATACACTATTTATATATATATATATATACATTTTTTTTTTTATTATATATATATATATATATTATTTATTTATTATATATATTTATTTATTTATTATATATTTATTTATTATATATATATATATATATATATATATAGATTTTTTTTTTAATATATATATATATATATATATTTATATATATATATAATATATTCGGTTAGATGCCACAGAACACGATGTCACTCCAGCTCTCAAACAGGCTTTGGTTCAATCTTGGATTCTTACTGTTTGACAGCTTCTCTGACGGCCTCCTTTCCTCCTCTCTCACGTCTCCTTCCGTCCTCGTCCCTCTCCTTGGGTCCTCCAGGCGTAGCGGAGGTGATAGTCCTGGTGGGGGGGCGCCAGTCGATCGGGATGAGCCAGCGCTCCCTGACGGCGGTCACCTGTTTCAACCCCCAGAGTAGTAAGTGGTACCCGCTGGCCAGCCTGCCCTTCTACGACCGCGAGTTCTTCAGCGTCATCTCGGCGGGGGACAACATCTACCTGTCAGGTGAGCTAAATCGCCGGGGGGGTGGGGGGGGGGGGGGGCAGGGGATGCTATTCGTTTATCTCCCCTCCGTAGTGGCAGGCGAACCCGGTAATCCCGGGAGATTTTGCTTTGGCGTTGACTTTTGATTTTAATATGGCCACAAATTGTTTTTGACACTTTTGACACGACAAAAAATGTGATGGATAAAAAAAAAATGAAATACCTTTTAAAGCCAAAATATAATTTGAAAAAAGTCTAAATGTTTCGAAAAATGTGATTGATAAAAAAGTCAAAATATGTTGTATCGGAAAATGTCACCGAACAAAGTCCAAATGTGTTAAATACATTCAATACCTTTAAAAATAGAAATGAATTTAGTGAATTTCTCAGCACAAACGATGACCTCCTCAGATCTTAATGACGTAGATCTAGTTTCTGACCTCCGTGGATCAAAATGTCCACAAATATTTCCGAGGTGAGAAACATTTCCTCTTCCCAACTTCGTAGCTGCTAATTTCTTTCGGGGCTTAAAGCCGTTATGCTTTCACCTCGAGCCAATCGAACCGTTGTGTTCCTCCTTTGATGAAATGCCCTTCCATCACTCTGCACACTTTCTCTCCACGACCAAATGGGGTTCAACAGAGTGCAGCGACCCGGCCCCTCCCCCCGACTCCCGGCGACCTTTGTTTAAAAAGTCAACCCACGTTGGAATCGCCCACTCATCTGTTGCTTTGAAACCTCGGCTCGCCCAACCGACGCCTTTGATGTGTTTCTTTTCAGAAGGGTTCCTTTGTATCGAACGTCTCTCCTGTTTACCCGCCTTTTCTTTCTTTCCTCGCCGTCCCTGCACTGCAGCTCCATTGCGTTGCACCGTGGCACGCTGTGACTCCCTCTATGAGACACCTTTAAGTTGCCCCCCCCTCCGCGGGGTAGACCCCCCCCCTCGGCCCATTTGTGCGCGAATCCCGCGCGGGACTCAGACCTCGACATTGCACGCTGGAAACGCAGCCTTTCCTCTCCCCCTTTTTCATATAAATGTAAATTAGTGTTTGGGCATTGGAACAGGTATGCATGTGTCCGCTGGGAGTCAGACACCCGGGGGGGGGAATCAGAGTGTTCTAGCGGGCCAATCAACAGGTGCGGCGTGCGACCTTCCCAGCACTCGCGGAGTCGCGGCCGGTGTCACACGGCAGACGCCTGGGCTGACGGGGGAGGGGGAGGGCGCCTTCCAGAGAGCCGGAACGAGTACAATCCTGTCGTGTTCCTTCAAATGTCACGCCGTGTTCGGGAGTGGAGGTAGAAAAATAGTTTGAGGAGAGACAAGAAAAGGGGGGGGGAGGGGCCTTTTTAATCACCCCGCAGGCCCGCGTCAATGACCCCTGTGTCCGTTGCAGGGGGCACGGAGTCGGGCGTGATGCTGACGGACGTGTGGTGCTACATGTCCCTGCTGGACAACTGGAATCTGGTGTCCCGGATGACCGTGTCGCGCTGCAGACACAACAGCCTGGTGTACGACGGCAAGCTCTACGCCATCGGAGGGCTCGGCGTGTCGGGGAACCTGGATCACGTGGAGAGGTGAGCGCCGCAGCGGGGGGGGGCGGCATATAGTCACAACACCGGCCGTCGTCGTTGTTGTTGTTTTGCGGTGACGGAGCCGTGAAGGTCGTCCCATTCAAAACTGACTGGCAGACTCGGGTTGGTTGTGTTTGTAACCCGGGCTGAGGAGGGTGAGGGAGGGGGGTGGGGGGTGGGGGGGGGACACCTCCAGCACCCGGCCGAGCCGGATTAACCAAAGCAATCAAAAGAACATTACTGAGTATATTAGAGCGGGCCGCCGCCGCCGCCGCTCGTTACCTCGCAGCTCAATTGATCTCCGAAGCGGTTCTCAATGCACAACAGTCCTCCAAATGAAACAGCCTAATTTGATATTTCTCTGTAATGCTGCCATACAGTGTCGTTATGACGGGGGAGGGGGCGTGCGAGCGGGAGGGAGGGAGGGAGGCAGGGTGGGGGGGTCGCAGATAGAATATTTGGCCCGTAATGGAAACGCATTTGATTCCTGGTTTAATTTGGGAGCAGATCTCCCGTCGGCGCCGCTAGAAAAACCTCCACCTGCACAGAGGCCTCCTCCGGCCGGCGCTCCTCCGAGGGGGAAGCGACCCGCTCGCCGCGGGCTCGGACGAAGCGGACCAACCGGGTCGCGTTCAGACGCCCGCGGGTCGCTCCTGCTGTTTGGGCCCAGGTTGCGGCGAGCAGTCGACAGGCTTGTTTCTAAGCAACCGAGGCTTTTACTCTCTTTCTCGTTTTCAGGAATTACCATGCGGAGCAAAAAGTCACAATGGGTCTGAATCTTTATTTTCCGGGGAATAAATACACGAAGGTGCTTTTAGAGAGGGGACGGACATCGAGAGGAATGCATGGGTGATACTCTGAAAAGTATTTTTTGTGAACTTTTTAACGATAATGATTACAAATGCTTTATTCATTGCTTCAGATTTCCATATGAAATGTGTTTTATCCTTTTCTGAGTTTCTGACTGTGTTGACCCGCTCTGAATGCTCTTCCGCTGACTTTGTTGATAAATTGCACTTCAAACACCCGCTCGCCGCTCGCCGCGTTCACCTTTGTGAAGCCCAGAACATCCAACTGTGTTTAATGTGTGTGTAAGAGGCTGGCAGCTGGGACTGGGGAATAGTGGAGGCACCGTAGAGGCTTGAAATATTTAGCATATTTTAATTTGTATCCACAATATCCTTCGCAAAAAGCGGCTTGGCCCTGAGCTTTGGGTCGGCGGGGGGGGTTTGAGCCCGGCGTTGGTATTTTACCTCTTCAATGAGCAGCATGTAGCCGTCATAACGTTCACATTTCCGTCTGTGTGTCCTCACAGAGCCGGTCGATCTCTGCTTTGTTGGGCCTTTTGAAACAGAACTATTCATGCGTCATTCACACTCATGTGAGTTCAGTCCACTTCAGACGTTCTGCTCCGCAAACCAACACAATCGCACCTTTCGACAACGGCGTGCTCATCAATGTAAAGAAATGAGGTGACCGCCCGAAACCGGCAGTGAGCGGTTGCCTAGACGACCGACCGAGCGTCGCTATCTGACGCCTCGGCAGTGAGAGCGTGGCGACACAAAGCCCGCGGCGGCTAACGTTAGCGACTGTTCGCTGAGGCCATTAAACTCCAGATTGATTTTCATTTGTTGCCGGGTAAATTGGCTAACGTTATGAAGTGTAGCCTTGTTGCTACTTGAGTTGACTCATTAGGTTTTGAGTGGGAATTGAGGAAAAGGCTCCAGAAATCGTTTGGTGACAAAATGTATGATTTTAAATCCACTGAATTTCTCTTGAAGTTCCATAATACATACATATTTACACGGTGCGAAGAAGCCCACTGGGGCCGCTTTTCACACCTGGATGTGCTTGTTTTTCTTTTGCCGAGGGAAAAGGAGCTATTCAAAACCTAAAGTAGGGTTTTTGACACTTTTGGAGATTTGTCAACAACAAGCAGCTGGTCCGTCGAATCAACAGGTGTAATAAATGAGACGTAATCTCAGCGGCTCGGGGAGAGCTCGACGGACGAACAGCGGCAGTCTCTTCAATGGGACTTTAAATAGTTTAACTCCTTGAATTGGTCCATTTGTAGTAAGACTCACGATTAAACCCAACTTGAGAACTATTTTTCCCATAAAAACGATCAAACTGATGCATCATCAAGTTTTGAACCCCCAATAAAGAAGACTGAAACCTTTTTTTCCTCCTTTTCCTTTCATGAGAACAGCTACTGTGACTAAAAAAAGTATTATTACATAACCTTTTCATTGCTCCTGCTCCTACGCACGAGTTTGCTTCTGCATACATAGAAACTACTTTTAACTGAAGATCAGGAGGTCACGTATGAATCACTGTATTCATCTTCTCGCTGCATAAAAAGAGTGAGTTGTTGATCACCACTTTCAGCCCATTTCTCAAAGCATTTGTTCATAACCGCTCTGATAAATGAGCCTCATCAATATGCTGATCCTTTATTTTGTAGCTAACCGCCAGATTTGGCGTTAGAGTGTTGTGAGACGCAGTTGGCTCTCCTGCAGCTCCGCGTCGTCGAGGCCGAGAACTCCTCCAAAGATAGAAGCGACTCCACCAGCGAGAAGGGAACCGCTCCTCCGGGCCTCCTCGGGGGCCTCCTCCCAACTCCTCGGCATAAGGAAGAATAAGAAAATCCGCGGGTCTGCAGCCGTAACGTGGCGCGCTAATACCGTTCAGAACGCATTAGTCGGCGTGTGTTGTTTGCTATGCAGAAGCCTGCTGGGAATCGCATCTGAAGGCCGGGGCGGAGACGCCGCGACAGCCCGGGTTGATTTGCGCCGCTCGCCGAGTGATTGATGCGGAGATTGTTTACACGCGCGGCCAATCTTCGGGTCCGGACGCGCGCGCGCCTCTCGAAGCATGCGCCGCGTGCACCTCGGGGGTGTCTCGTCGATCCAGCTCCGGGGCTCCTCATCTGCAGTCCTCGCCTCCCCCTCCCGCGCCGTCCATCTCGCCGTTCCGCCTCGCCGCGGCTTTCACGCTCCTGACCGTGAAATTCGGGCCCGCGTCCACCATGATGTCTTCAATCAGAGGCGTTTCGGAGGCGGCAGGGTGCAGCCTTTTTTTGGGGGGGGGGGGGGGGAACCGCAGGAGGTCCAAATCAGCGCTGGAAGGTCTGAGCGGACCCGCGGCGCTCTCTCTCGGCTCTCGGCGCTAATCACCGACAGGTTTCTAGGAGCTGGGGAGGTTTTTAACTTGCAATCAGATACCCGGGGCCTGCCTGCTCCCAGCATGTTGATCCTTTGGCAGGCCAAATATGATTGCAGAGATTGAATAATTCATGGGTGTCTAATGATGTGTCAATCACCGATGGTTTTGTTTTATTTATCGCGCACTACGAACAGGTTTGTGCGTCCTCCGAGCTCTATTGCTAGTTAATATTGCATGAAGACCGTTAGCGACGTGACACTGAGTACAACAACTAGCGTTTCTCATCAGGGAGCTTCTGCTGTTTGGCTAACAAGCCTGGAGGAGATTCTGGATTATTCTCTTCCCCCGGATTTTCAAAATAAAAGGAGGCCTTAAATTGCAGCACACAAAAGTGTGCTCGTCGGCGCCGTCGTCCATGCGTGTTTTTCAGGTTCCTGAAAAACTGCCCCAGTTGTTGTTGTTCGGTCGGTACTTGCACCTCGCTGAGTAGAACTATGCAGGTCGTGTGCTCAGTGCCGAAGTGAGGATTTCTTTTCCCATTTGTTGAGCTCTTCTCGAGCCGCCGGCCGTGACCCAATCATTTATCCAGTCCCTTCATTCTCCGCTTAAAACTTCTCTCCTTCATCTCATTCTTTAGTTTAACTTTTCCTCCTCGGGGGGGGGGAGTTGTGCGTTGCAGCAGCATTATGTGCTGCTTCCAGAACGTTGGCTTAGCGAGACAAGGGAGGCGAGTCGTAGCGCCTCGGCGGCCTCGCAGAGGAGCAGGGAACGTCTCCCGGGAGACTTTCCTCAGCTCAACCATGAGCGGGGACGTGCAGCGGGACGGAGAGCCCAGCGGGACGCTCCGCGATGCCGCACGCCGCTGAAGTCTCTCCCGCCGACTTGACAAGTCCTGAAGTACTCCGTGTCTGCGGGCGGTGTGCACGCTGGGTTGCCAGTCACCCGGAGAAAGGACAACCCCCCCCCCCAGCCCCCGCCCCACCCCCTTCTGTGGGACGCCAGGGGGTGGGAGAGGCTTCACGTGGCGCTCTCTGAAGGGAGAGGCTACATCTGCTCTTTGAGTCGTGTGGCGGCGCAGCGTTTGCCTCCCGGCCGCCCGAGCGAGCGCGATCGGACCGGGTGGCCGGGGGGGGGGGGGGTCCAGACGTCCATTCACTCACACAACGCCGTGCACTTGTCGGATGCGTGCACACACACACACACACACACACACACACACATACGACCCAATGAGAAGGAGAAGGAGGTCCTTCTTCGCCCATTAAAGCGTCTCCGCCCAAAAGCGCTCTCTTTTTGGAGAGAGAGGAGGCAAATAATCAGCAGGGTGATGACGCCAATAACAACGGAGCGCCCCGCCGCTGTGTGGCCCCCGGGAGTGGGGGGAGGGGAGGGGGGGGCAGGACCCCCGCGGCGAGAGAGGCAAGGAAGAGGGGATGAGAGAAACGGGTAGCGAGCCGAGAACCCGGTGGGAGAAGATGAGAGTGTGGATGCTGCGCCCCCCCCCCGTGAGCTCTGTGCAATCAGTCACACTGGAACCAATGAGCTCTTCCCTCTCAGCCCCCCTCTCTCCCCTGTCCCCCAACTGATGAGCTGTGGTGCACGGCCCTCATATGTCTGTGTTACTACGTGCTCGGGGGCCAGGTTCGGATGGGGGGGGGGGTGGCAGTCGCCCCCGGTAGCCCGGCAGCATGGCACTGCAGTCGGGCACAACAGCCCGTCCCCGTTCCCCCCCCGACCGAGGCGGTTCTCCCCTGCTGGGCTAATCCCCGGCTCTTTAGGATTAACCAACTTCACAGCGCCGGCCCCCACCGCGCTGTCAAGGCACCAGTTTACTCTCC